TCTGCCTTTGCTTTGCATGCCGGACTCCTTAGAGGACCGCCTCTCATGGGACCACCGCTTAGAGGACCGCCGCTCCCGCACTCGGCCGTTGCGCAGACAGAGAGCGGACGTCTGGCAGCCGCCGCCGGCGCCGATGCCTGCGGGCCTGACCGGAATTACGGAGCCCACTCCGCAGTTGGGCGCGAACCTGTTGACCATTATTGGGGGCGTCGAGGAGCATGTGCGCTCGCCCACTCATGACCTGATGGACTTGCTGGAAGGATCCCCCTTTTTCGGCTGCTGATAAAAAATGCCCGGACCTTCCGACCGCGCAGACATCCCGCGGGTGGCCGCTCTGGAGTTAGCCGACGGTGGCTGCTTGGTCACGTGTGGCAAACGCTACTGCATAATCGCCGGCGGTGACTCAGCAGAAGTGCGCGTGCAAGGTGAGTTGGAACATGCCGCCATCATGTACGCTGCGACCCATGGAGACGAGTTCTGTCTCATCACGAGCATGAAGACACTGCAGCGCCGCGAACTCCAAGATGGCAGCCTCTTCCGCGAGTACCTCCTCAACCTACAACTCGCCACCGTCGAGTACCTGGCTGCTGTGGAACACACGGCTGAGCAGTCTGCGGAGCAGATTACTGTGGGACAAAGTGCGGCGGGGTACACGGCTGAGAGGACTGAGGCTGAGGCGGAGATCTGTTTGGCGGACAAGTTCGGTGACGTGACTTTGACGACCTGGGCGGCCATTGCTGAGAAGAGCACCAAGACCGCGCGCTCCATCTACCGGCACCTGAAGATGTTCCCTAACGACCTACCCTTCGCCCAGAAGTTCGAATGGATCGAGAAGTACCTGGCCGAGAACCAGGTCGCGGTCGCTGACATCGACGAGGAGGCGACCCAGTCGGGGGAGACCCAATCGGGTGATGTTCAGTTGGGGGAGACGGCGGTCGAGGAGGCGGATCCGGAGACGGACTTGAACAAGTTCGACAGTGGGAAGCCGTTGGAGGAGTTGCTGCGTCAGTATGACGAGGAGATGGGGCCGAGTTTGATGGGACACTTGGCGAGTGTGACATTCATGCGGTTGGTTCGGTGGCGCGGGACGACATTGTGTTTGACGGGCGACCGGGATGAAAAGGTGCGTGTGAGCTGCGTGCCGGAGCTGTGGGAGGTGCAGGCGGTGCTATGTGGGCATTCGCAGTTTGTGGTGGATGCCGTGCTGGTCAGCTGTACTGGTCGGCCCCATATAGTCTCGGTGGCGGGCGACCGAACCTTGCGGTGTTGGTCGCTGGTCGATGAACGGCAGGTCGGCGCGGCCGTGCTCTTGCCTTCCATGCCCGTCAGTCTCGTCGTCCCGGCTTGTGCGGAAGGCGAGGGCGTGATTGTGTTCTGCATTACGACGGGCGAAAAGACGCTGCATCGGTTCCGTGTAGCGGAAGACGGACGGCTGAGCGCGTTGTCCGCCGAAGCACTGGCCACGGCGCCACTGGCCATGTCCAAGACCGGCCGCTTCTGGGTCGGCGAGGACGGGCGTATTTGGCGACGACGAGCCGCAAATATACAACGACGGCAGAGGTCACACACGACGGCAGAAGGCTGGGACCTCGTGGGGCACATCGACCCCGCCTGTACCTGGCTCCACCTCTGGAAACACGACCGCGAGGAGGACGCATTGAGCCAGGAAGAACGAATCGCCAAACGGCTGCGTCACGCCACCTGAGTCGGCGTCGCCGTTAACTGGCTGTTCCAGACAAGCACGTCGCTCCCCGGGGTAGGGTTTTTGTGTGACGCCCCGGTCCCGGCCGTACCTGTGTTGAGTCCCACGGTTGTGCTGTCCCCGGTCCCGGCCGTACCTGTGTTGAGTCCCACGGTTGTGCTGTCAACTCGAGCCGTACGATGTGAGTCCTGAGGCCTTGTCTCATGGTACCACGTGGCTTAACCGGCTAGTATCCTGTTCGTGTATCCGTTCGTCCATCATGGGCCGCCAGTATCGGTCAGTGGTTAGACTTCATGTTTGAGTATGTCGTAGAGCATGGGTGGGCTGAGTATGCTGGTGCCGCCGATGTAGATGTCTGCAGTGGTGGCTTTGGTGACTTCGTAGGCGGTTCTGATTTCGCTGAAAGAGACGCCGCCAAGTACGAAGAAGATGATTTTGCGTTTGCCGCTATTCTGCAGTATTGAGGATGCGGTTTCGGGGCTGGCAACTTGGTCGGTAGCGGCGGTCCAGTCCCAGTCGATTTGTGCGGCTCGGAGTCGGGTGCCTGCGGCCGGAGCGTTGTCGTTATAGCGGTTGCCGGCGCCGGTTTCGAAGTCGGGGTCGGCGAGGTAGGGGAAGGTGGATCGAGGGAGTCTTTTGGTAGCAGCGGCTTCCATGAGTTCCTTGATGAGTGGTTCAAAGCGGGAGAGTTCGTATTGTGCGCTCTTGGCTCGTCGTTTGTTAAGTTGTAACCTCTGTTCGTTCTTGTGATTTCGGTGAACGTGTTTGAGCGAACCTTCTTTAGAATCGTGGGGCTCGGGGACTAAGCCGATGTCCGAGAAGGTGTCAATGAGTTTCTCTACCTCAACCGACATTCCCGCGCCCCTTATCATCTTCCGTTTGTCCTCTGGTTGCACTCCATCCATCATGGTAAAGTAAAGCAAGAGCAACCGTACCCTCTCCCCCATAGCAATGCTAGATTTATCCGACACCAATCGAGCTAGCTCCTCTAACGTCTTCAAGACCTGGATCGACTTACCGTGCTTGTCTACACCTGTGGCCAGATCCTGTTCCAACACTCCAGCTCGGAAAATACCGGTCTTCTCCAACGTCGAAAAACAAGCCTCCGATACTTTCATGTGAGTTGTGAATTTCGTCGTCATCTCCGAGTACTGTGGCAACGCTTGAATCGCACCCCCAATATCCCCACCAGCCTTTTTGTACTGAGCAGTCGCGTTGTCCGCAGCAAATTTGAGCAACTCGTCACGCACACCCGTAATGACCGACGCGATGTGCTTGTGTCGATATCGCACAAATAACTCATCTGCTTCTGACAATAGAACGGTATGCTCCTCATTTTTCTCGTCTTTGAACCTAACCATACCACATAATACCCCAGCCCGCGTTGACCCCAGCGTGTATCAAATGCGTGAACGTGTATATAAGTGTAATGCCAAGTGAGTAAAGTCTGCCTACTTGTAGGTGTCATTGTCTTCAGGCGATTTCATACTGCACACAGGGATTTCAAGCACGTCATAAGCCAATGCTTGATAGCTGTATTCATGGAGCAGTATGACGCAAGGATCCAGAGAACGATCAAGAATAATTAGTTCGGAATTACCTCTACTGCATTCTTCAGGTTTTATTGCATCGAAGTATTCCTGTACGTACTGGGCGACTTGCCTGTTCGTTTTAAGGTGTTCTGAATCTCCATAAAATCTAACACTACTCATATCACCCATCGTGATACACACAGTTGCTAATTTCGCAGCAATAGATCTAAGTAAAGAATCATGGGGAGGTATGCTTTTGGATAATATCTGTCGTAAAGCTAGTGGCATTGATAAGTGAAACGCTCGACTTTCATACGCACAAAAATGCATATTGAAATCAATGAAAGATTTTATTCGTGGTATCAGACTATTAGCACCCGCTATTAGTTCTATTAACTGCCTTTCCCGTTGTATTGACGTGCTCCAGAAGATGTGGGCAGAGCGATAAGAAGGCTTCCTCTCACTCTTGAAGTCTTGAATTAATCTTTCCACAACTTCCTTTCGTGGAGATAAATAGTATATACAATCCAGCTCCGGTAACGGCTGTCGAGTTTTAGAAATAGACTGGATTACTGCTATACCATTATCCAGTAAGTCGTAATTCTTTACAGCACTCGATAACACCTCCAGAGTCTCGTCATCTACCACCAGTGCACAATAAGCATTCGTAGCATGCACTGTCTGCACTGGTAAGCCAACCAAGTGCTTCAAAATCCTTCTCTTTGCATATTCACGTGGCATATTAATTTTCACCTGGATTTGCCGCCACGCGTGACCAGGACCTCCTTCCTTCAAAAGATTAGCTCTGTCTAGTCCGGCCTTGGCGGGACCCGTCAAAACGGACCCGTCAAAACGGATCCGTCAAAACGGATCCGTCAAAACGGATCCGTCAAGACGGATCCGCTCCCCATGAGTACTGGAGGGTAAGGTGATGGATGGGTCGGTGTCTAACTAGTTATGTAAAAATTGGGACTCTGGTATAAACAGATCATTAGTAGAGGACATCAGTAGTGGCCCGTCGGATGATTCTCGCCTTCGCCTCTTCGCTGTGCTTTCGTACTCTTCATTCTTGACATTCTCCTGTGTCTCCTCGTTCTCATCCCCTTCCGTGGCACTGCAGTCTTCCTCCTGTCCGTCGAGAGTGCCTTCTTCCTCTCGGTACAGCAAGTCTTGAGGCGAGGCCTGCAGACCGGCTCCTACGCTGGGGGGCTGTTGCATCATGGTAACCGGCGGCTGTTGCATCAAGGCAGCCGTGTGGGGTGGGGGTGGTGTTGTGGTTTGCAGCAGGTCCAAGGACTCGTCCAGTGGTTGCATTGTGGGGCTGCTAGCGAAGCTTAGACTCAGAAGTTGGTCTGCGTTGCGTGTGAACTTGGCCGAATAATCCCGTTCCATTTTTATCAATCCATTTACGAGCCGTTTGAACGTGTTTATGTCCTTTTGCTGCGACCGATACTGCAATGCTTCTTGTTTCCAGGACTCTACTTCCTTCCCGAGTCTTTGACATTCGATCTTCGAGTTTGCTAGTTCCTGCTTGTCCTCCTCCATATCGCGCACACGACGCTCCAACTCGTGCTGCTGAGTCTCCAGCACTGCACAACGTGACTGCAGTGCCGTACATTCTAACGATAACTGATATTTCTCCGCCTCTAACTGAGTAGCCCGTTGCTCCGAGCTTTCCAGACCACTCTGAATTTGTTTCCGCTTCAGCTCCGACCGTTCAAAGGCCTCCGCGAGCCGCTGGTTCTCCTCTACGTGCTTGTCCCGCTCGCCCACGACTCCCTGCAGCTGTTGCTGGAGCGACGCCAGCTTTTTCTTTAACAACGTCATCTCCATCTCTACTTCTCCAGTCTTGCTTTCATGGTCCCTCAATTCCCGTTCCCTCTCCACCCGACTTTTTTCGGCTTCTGTCTTGCATCGGACGAGATCGCCTTGCAGGCTCGCCACTTGTTTCCGCAGATCGTCAATTTCGCGCATTCGCGACATGTCAACCTGAGCCAATCTATGGCCTCCAAGGACCTGGCCGCCAAGGGCTTGGCCGTGGCGATCTGCACCGGAAGTACTGCCAGCTGTGCTCCCGTTAACACTGCCACTTACGCTTCCTCCACCCATGCTGTGCCCCCCACCCATGCTGTGTCCCCCACCCACGCCGTGTCCACCATTGGGACCTAGTCCGCTGCTTAGGGACGGTCGTCGGCCCCCGCTCTGCTGTTCCTCAGTCTTAACCCGTAGCAATCGCGGGTCGCTAACACAACCGACGAAACAAAAGGACTTCACTCCGCTTGCAGCCAACTGGTCTTTAGTCAACTCGGTCAACACCTGCGCGTAGGACTCGCTTATTGCCACAAAGGTCTCGAAGGCGAAGACCGGCCGTTCCCCGCCTTCCTCGCCACTCGGAGCCCGACCCAGGTAGATGGTTTGGGGATACCCCTGTCGCTCTTCAGACTCAGCAGACACCTTGACAAAGTTGGCCTTGCCCTGCATAATATGGAACCGAGGCGCCAAAGAATACCGCTCGCCTTTCGGCAGTCGCCCCCGACCGTCGAACGACCCATTCGTACTGGAATCCGTATACGCCAAAGTCACGTACAAACGGTCCCCTGGGCACAACGCCGTGCTACTCAAATTGTCCGAGGTCGACACACATGCCACATGCCGCACCTAAACAGCATCACAAGTCCGAAGAGCCCTGTCTGTATAAACAAACCATTGGGCAACGTCTCCCAGGGTGGCGGGGTAGCTTCAAGAGCGGCGATGGTACCTCCGCCGCTCTTAGGGTACCCTCAGAGCAGCGGGTTCCCGGCTTTGGGACATCCAACTTGTGAGAGCACCCAAGCTCGGAATGACCCAACTTGGGGGGAGAACCCAACTTTAGGAGAAACCACACACGCGTTAAAGCACACGCGTTAAAGCACACGCGTTAAAGCACACGCGTTAGGGTTCAAGTGCACGGGCGATTCGGGAAGACGGGTTTATCGGTTGCAGGGTTGACTCACAGTCCACGTAACAGTACCGTGTTGAGTACTGATGGCTCTGTCTTTGAGGTGTACGTGACAACCGGGCCGACGGCCGATGGTAATGTTCCCTTCGAAGGTGTTGGCGCTGGTTTGGTTTCCAAGCATGTTCACCATCCATAGAGAGGGTGAGGCCCCGTGCACCTGCATAGCTACATCCTCACAGTTCGGCCTTGACTTGAGCATGAGGTAGAGTGCATTGGCTGGCTGCAAGACGACAAGTTCCATCTCGCACACGCTATGCCCCAAACGGACGGCGTTATTTATTTTTGTCAATTGAACTTCATCATGAGCGCAATCAGCAACAAGCTTTCTATCCGGGATGTGGAACTCAAGGGCAAGCGTGTGCTGATGCGTGTCGATTTCAACGTACCCCTCGTCGATGGCAAGGTCACTGACGCCACCAGAATTAACGCTACCATCCCCACGATTAAGTTAGCCATGGAAAAGGGCGCCAAGGCAGTGATTTTGATGTCCCACTGCGGTAGACCTGACGGACGTCGCCAGGAAAAGTACTCCCTTAAACCCGTTGTGCCCATCCTCGAGGAGAAGCTCGGCAAGACCGTCACTTTCCTCAATGACTGTGTTGGCAACGAAGTTGAGGGTGCCTGTGCTAACCCTGCTGACGGCTCCATCATTCTCCTCGAGAACCTCCGCTTCCACATCGAGGAGGAGACCAAGGGCACCGATGAGGCCGGCAACAAAATCAAGGCCGACAAAGATGCCATCACCAAGTTCCAGGCCTCCCTCACCAAGTTGGGAGATGTATTCGTTAACGACGCCTTCGGCACCGCCCACCGCGCTCACTCTTCCATGGTGGGCGTTCAGTTGGAGACTCGCGCTGCCGGTCTGCTGATGGAGAAGGAGCTGAAGTACTTCGGTGGTGCCCTTGAGGAGCCCAAGAGACCCTTCCTTTCCATCCTAGGTGGTGCCAAGATCCGCGACAAGATCCAGCTCATCGAGAACATGCTTGATAAGGTCGATGAGATGATCATTGGGGGCGGTATGGCCTATACTTTCCTTAAGGAACTTGAGGGTATGAAGATTGGCACGTCCCTATATGATGAGGAAGGCGCTAAGATTGTGCCTAAGATCATGGAGAAGGCGAAGGCGAAGAATGTGAAGATTACTCTTCCCGTTGACTTTACCATCTCTTCCGAGTTCGGTGAGAAGGGGACCATCAAGACTGTTACCAAGGCCGAAGGTATCCCCGACGATATGATGGGTCTGGACTGCGGCCCGGCCTCTATTGCTCGCGCAAAGGAGGTTATTGGCCGCGCTAAGACTATTGTCTGGAATGGTCCTCAGGGTGTGTTCGAGATGCCCGCCTTCGCGAAGGGTTCGTTGGCGTTTGTTGACGAAGTTTGCGAAGCTACCAAGAACGGTGCCATCACCATTGTTGGCGGTGGCGATACTGCTTCTCTTGTTGAGAACGCTGGCAAGTCCAGCGGTGTGTCGCACGTTTCCACTGGCGGTGGTGCTTCCCTCGAACTGCTCGAGGGCAAGGAGCTCCCGGGTGTCACTAAGCTTTCTGACAGAGCTTAAACCAAACTTTTTGTGTGTACAGCATTGAAACAATCCTTTCTCTAAATTTGTCATTGGCTTGGCATACGTGTGGTCGACGGGACGAGAGCGAGGCGAGACACCCAACCGTCCGACGTGGATAAGACGCTGGGTTCCGCCCTTTGTTTGGCAATTAGCCCGCTGTAAAGGAGTGGTGGATGGGCAAGCAACGGTGGCCAGCGACGCTCTCCTGGGGTATTGGGGTATGGGGTGGGGTATGGGGGTTGGTCGACGAAATGGCTGGGTAATAATAAAGGATCGCTCATTTAATTTTTGCTCTGATGAACCGCCCTTTGGCCACGACGCTGATTCAGGGGCCGTCGGCATGGAACCCGCTATCCGTTCCGTCAACGCTGAGTGTTGGGGACATTACTGATCTGGCATACTTGGTCTCATTGGAGAACAGCGCTGTCATGACCTTCTATTCCATGCAGTACTCAAGTCAGAAGGACAGCGTCTCGCCGCTGACCTTAACGGTGAGTGTACATGCAGTATTTGGACGAATGACCATATAGCATATGGCCGTGTGCATCGGGACACATGCGCGTCCTTAGGATCATATGCCTATGTGTTTTAGACCTTGCTTCAAATGAAATGTAGAGGCGTGGCCGGGGACAGTATAAAGTGGAGTCGTGATTGCGAGTCTAGCAAGCACCCCATGGGGTTGATCTCTTATGCTTACGGAGAGACAAGTGGTGATTGGCGGGAGATTGCGTTTTATGACGCGTATATAGTTATAGGCAGCATGGTGGCTACTTTGCGGAAGGACCCGACTACCGCGACCCCGTTCCATTGTCCGCCGAGCCACGGCTTCTTGGGCTCGGCGGTATTGCCGTCATCGGTCACTGCTTGGGAGCCGCATGGGAAATGGTCTTCAACGGTGGCGGTGGGTTGTGCGGGTGGCAAGATGTATTTGTTAGACACGACGAGTCTAAGTCCGAGTGTGCCGCTTAAGGTAACGGAGGAGACGGCCATAAACATCTCTAGTGGTGATGTACGGTCCATTGCATGGCATAATCAAGCCATGAACAAAGACATTTTGCTGGTGGGTGCTGCCAATGGATTCTGCATCATACATACGAAGAATGGCAAGGTGCTAATGTCGCCGGTTGATATGCAGAAGCGTAAGAACGTGACGGGTGTGTCATGGCTTGAAAACGGTAACTCAGTGGTGGTGGTGTATAATGACCCTGATGCCTCGCACTCGGGTGTGCTCCAATTGTGGGATCTGCGTCGCTCAACAGTACCCTACAAGGAGATCACTAACTACCACCAGTGCGGCATCCTCGGGTTGCAGCGATCTAATGTGGACCCCCGCTTCTTCGTAACCGCTTCAAGGGACGGGCGTGTGATGACTTGGGCTAGCTACGGAAGCAACGTGGTACCCTACTCGGACTTCAAGGTCGATACCGACATCGAGTCATTCAGCCTCATGCCCACGCTCGGCCTGGTCAGTCTCACGGCCACGGCCATGGCCGCTAACCTGGCCAGCGCCGCTGGAACAGGAGCGAGCACGAGTGTGCTTTCGCTGGACACAAACGTCGTTAAGGACGGCGGTCTCAAATTCTCGCCCAACTGGATACCCGGGGGTAACTCTCTCAGCTTCGGTTTCGGCGGACACCTTGCTTATCTCCACAACGTCAAGGGCGACACAGCTGTCGGTGTCTGTGAGCAGCCGTACGACACGGCCTTCGTGGACGGTGCGCAGAACTTTTATCAACACGTGGTCAAGAATGACATCATGTCCTACTGCACCCTGCAGGCCAAGGAGACCTTGGCGCGAGGCGACGCCTATGAAGCCGACATCTGGTCGCTACTTGGCGTCTTGTTCCTGAGTCCCGCCGATCGCCGCACCTCGCTGCTACAGATCCTCGGTCACAGCATCCAAGACGTCAAAGATCAAGCCTCCTGTTTCCTCGGCCACCAGCCGGGTGCCGGCCTGATCAGTTCCATCAAGGAAGAACCGGTGGCCAGTTCGCCGACCGAGGACGACGCCGCGCACTTCTTCGAAAAGCTCGCCCACGACTCCAGCCACGAAGATCTACCCGCAAGCAACCTGAGCGTTAAAGGCAGCGGCTACCTTGTCGACCGAGACTGGACAGGGGGCAGTCTGAAACTGTTCAAGGAATTGTTCCTGGTTGGGGACTTGTTGGGCTCCATAGAATGCGCACTCAAGGCGAACGACTTTGGGCTTGCCTTTATGATCGCCTATGGGCTGGACAACAAGGAGGTGATGCAGAGCGTTAAGCAGAAGTTCATAGAGTTCAATCAGAACTCCTTCATCGACGTGGTGGCCAAACTATCGGAGGATAAGTACGCGGACACGGTAAATGCATGCGCACTCGACAGCTGGAAGGAAGTCGCCGCACTCCTCGTAACCTACCCCATGACCCGTGAAATGGCCGTCAGTGGCACCTGTATCAAATTCCAGGAGCTCTGCAGCCGCCTCGCCGAACGACTTATTGAAGCCGGCGACCTAATGAACGCTATCGCTTGCTATCTCATTGCAGGCGACTTCGCTCACGCCGCAAACCTTATCGGAAGCTTTCCCTCCGCCACGGAGGGATCGCAGGCCGTCAAACTACTCGTCCTCCGCTTCCTCAATCGCGACTGGGTCCTCGACAACCAGTCCTTCTATACCGTATACCGCTACCTCCGACGCCTCGTCAACTGCGGCCAACTTGAAATCGCCACCACGCTCCTCGAACTCGTCGCCAACGTCCCCGGTGTGTCGCACCTTCGCTCCCTCATCGACGAAGCCCAGGGCAAACCCGTCACCGGTCGAGACGTTTACCAAATCGGCGTGGCACCGCAGTACATGCAGCAACAGATGATGCTGCAGCAACAGTCCATGCAGCAACAGCCCATGCAGCAGCAACAGCCGATGCAACAGCAGCATCAGTCGATGCAGCAACAGCATCAGTCGATGCAGCAACAGCATCAGTCGATGCAACCGCAGCCCATGCAGCCGCCGTCAATGCAGCAACAGTCGATGCAGCCAGGCTACCACACCATGGGCCTCGGCGGTGCTGGAATGGGCGGTGCTGGAATGAGCCGGCCGGGCAGCATGGGTCAGCAGATGCCGCCCGGCGCTAGCGTGCCCCCACCGCCCGCCGGAATGGTCGCGAACAACCCGTTCCCGATACCACCCGGCAGCGGTACCGGTATGGGCTCGAGTGCCACCGGTGGCGGCTTTGGCGCCCCCGGCGGTGGTTTCGGCGGCTATGGGTCGAGCAGTCCCTTTGCGCCGAACGCCTTCCCGCCGGCGCCCGAGGCATTCGCGCCCCCGGCCGCGCCTGCCCCCTTCGCCACGCCACCCCTCGGCTACAGCCAGCCCGCACCGGCCGCCCACTTCAACTCCGGCAGCGGCAGCTTCCCCAGCGGCAACTACTCGCCCCCGCCTCCCGCCGCCTTCGGCACAGCACCCAGCCTCTCCGGCGTCGGCTCCAACGCCTCGGGTGTCGGCTCTAACATGGCCGGAGCAGGCATGGGCGGAGCCGGTATGGCCGGTGCGGGCATGGGCGGAGGTGGTATGACCGCGCCCCCGCCTATGGTGCCGCCCCCGTCCATGGCACCGCCACCTAGCATGGCCCCACCACCGAGTATGGCCCCGCCACCTAGTATGGCAGGAGTGAGCATGGGGGGGCGGGCATGGCGCCTCCCCCCCTCCCATGGCGCCCGCGCCGAGTATGGCCCATGGTGCGGGATTCGATGGAGGGTTCGCGAAGCAACCGGACCAGGGCTGGCAGAGCACACACCCGGCGGCGAGTGCGGGTCAGATCGCGCCAGGGCTGCCAACACCGTGGCCGGTGCCGACGGCGGAGCAAGGTTTGCGGGGTACAGCGACGGAGAAGTTCAACCAACAAGTGCAGGAGGCGGCTCAGTTGGCGGGGTCGCCCTGCAACGCAGGCGACCTGGCACGCGTTCGTGCGACCTTTGAGAACGCACTCAATCGAGATCCCAAACGAGCTAACTTGCGCCCTGCTCTTGATGAACTCTACCAACAACTCCAACAGGGCCAGGTCACCGCGCCACTACAACAACAACTCGTCCAATACGCTGAAGCACTCCACGCAGGCAACCTCGCCGCTGCAATCAACTTCGCACAGCTCATGGTCGGCGAAGGCTGGAACAAACACAGCAAGAACTGGCTCAACGCTCTCAAAAAGCTCGCCAGCCCGCCATCCACCGCACCACAACCACAACCACAACCCGGTCTACCGCAGCCCGCCTGGCCTGGCATCCCCACCGCACCCGGCATGTCTACCGTCGGCCGGTTTTAAACCAACATTTTTTCACCCACTCTGACTACGACCACAACCATCCCTCAGCACTAATGACAACCCCCTCCCTCGAGCGCCGGCGCCGTCTCCTACCCGCCGGCGTCATCTCCTGCCCGCTCGTTCCGTTCCCGCTTCCGCCCTTGAGTCCATGCAGTAGCCACCGTCATGACCAAAATTGTCAGAGAAAAAACTACATTCACTCCTCCGCCAATTCGCCTTCTTCTGAAGCCTCCTTCCGCTCCGTCTGGCCGTCGGCTGCCGTTGTGGCCTCCTGTGCCTTCGCGTTGGCCGCAGCCTCCGCATCTGCCGCGACCTTGGCCTCCGCTT